GCATAACTCCACAAATTATGGTCGGATAATGGCGGTTATCGAACTTGTCCGAGGTTTCATGGTAATTAACCTTGTTGTGAAGTTTGAAGTTAATCCGTTAATAATTACTCGAGATATCGAGCGGACACTGTTTCGGCAAGTCCATAAAGGGGCATAACTCCACAAATTATGGTCGGATAATGGCGGTTATCGAACTTGTCCGAGGTTTCATGGTAATTAACCTTGTTGGGAAGTTTGAAGTTAATCCGTTAATAATTACTCGAGATATCGAGCGGACATCGTTTGCCCGCCCGTCCGCCCGCTCACGTGATAACATAATACGTCCCCGTCTTCGACGGACGTATAATTAAAATTGACCGTAACAATACCGATGTAGTACCGGCGTTCCCGCTGTTCTACCGATGTAGTACCGGCGTTCCCGCTGTTCTACCACTGTTCTACCGATGTGAGAGCCGATGTGCTACCGAATACCACTTTTCTGTCACCTCAGTGTGACCAATGCGCTACAATGTTATACCGAGGCGCCGTTGTTCTACCAATGTGCCACCGTTGACCGGAGCTATAGCGGAGTGATACTGTTGCACTGCTGATGTTACAGTGGTACATTGTTAGTACATTGGCAGTGCATCAGTACTACTTCGGTGGTATTTAGTAGTACTACAGTATCACATCTGTACCAGTACGGTACACATTGAAGCCACCGGAGAGCCGCCAATCAATTACGGGACGCTACCGTTCAAAAATGTTTACTGCCGTTGTTAAATGTTTCGCTTATGTTCTGACAATGTCCTGACAATGTACTACCGTTCCTAGCGATGTGATTCCGTTGCTCTACGTACTAGTACCGATCCTCAAAAATCGCCAAATTTGTGCTCCGGTATAGCTCCGGCTACCCAAATCGGCTAGGTGTGACAGATCCTTAACTGAGCAATTTTGCAGGGTAAAACTTTCATTGTTTTTGTTTCTGAAAAAAAAAATGTGGGTATTTTTCATTTCGAATAAAATTGCTGATACTCTGAACAGTACGATCTAAATTTTTTTAAATGAATGACAATGAAGTTTTGAAGTTTATATTTTATGTTACTATATATGATATGTAAATAGTGTAACCATATAATACATAGTAATATTACCAGAGAGGTTAAGTATAAATTCTAGGTGAAAATGGATTCCTGGATTTTTAGTAAAAGTTTCCTTTTGAATGAAACACAATTGACATTTAAATGATAACAACTTTCAACGGGATTATTGTATTCAATAAAGATGAAAATCTAGAGGGTCAAACAGTCTAGCATGTTTCTATATTTAATGAGAAGGTCAACCTGGAGAAAAGTCTAGCATGTTTCATGTCTAATGAGGAGGTCACCCTGGAGAAAGGTCAAGCATGTTTCATGTCTAATGAGGGGGTCAACCTGGAGAAAGGTCAAGCATGTTTCATGTCTAATGAGGAGGTCATCCTGGAGAAAGGTCAAGCATGTTTCATGTCTAATGAGGGGGTCAACCTGGAGAAAGGTCAAGCATGTTTCATGTCTAATGAGGGGGTCAACCTGGAGAAAGGTCAAGCATGTTTCATGTCTAATGAGGAGGTCAACCTGGAGAAAAGTCTAGCATGTTTCATGTCTAGTGAGAAGGTCAACCTGGAGAAAAGTCTAGCATGTTTCTGTCTTACGAGAAGGTCAACCTGGAGAAAAGTCTAGCATGATTCTATATCTAATGAGGAGGTCAACCTGGAGAAAAGTCTAGCATGTTTCATGTCTAATGAGAAGGTCAACCTGGAGAAAAGTCTATCATGTTTCTATATCTAATGAGAAGGTCAACCTGTAAAAAAGTCTAGCATTTTTCATGTCTATAATGAGAAGGTCAACCTGGAGAAAAGTCTAGCATTTTTCATGTCTATAATGAGAAGGTCAACCTGGAGAAAAGTCTAGCATGAAAGGTCAAGCATGTTTCATGTCTAATGAGGGGGTCAACCTGGAGAAAGGTCAAGCATGTTTCATGTCTAATGAGGAGGTAAACCTGGAGAAAAGTCTAGCATGTTTCTATGTCTAATGAAAAGGTCAACCTGGAGAAAAGTCTAGCATGTTTCTGTCTTACGAGAAGGTCAACCTGGAGAAAAGTCTATCATGTTTCTATATCTAATGAGAAGGTCAACCTGTAAAAAAGTCTAGCATTTTTCATGTCTATAATGAGAAGGTCAACCTGGAGAAAAGTCTAGCATGATTCTATATCTAATGAGGAGGTCAACCTGGAGAAAAGTCTAGCATGTTTCATGTCTAATGAGAAGGTCAACCTGGAGAAAGGTCAAGCATGTTTCATGTCTAATGAGGAGGTCATCCTGGAGAAAGGTCAAGCATGTTTCATGTCTAATGAGGGGGTCAACCTGGAGAAAGGTCAAGCATGTTTCATGTCTAATGAGGAAGTCAACCTGGAGAAAAGTCTAGCATGTTTCATGTCTAGTGAGAAGGTCAACCTGGAGAAAAGTCTAGCATGAAAGGTCAAGCATGTTTCATGTCTAATGAGGGGGTCAACCTGTAGAAAAGTCAAGCTTGTTTCATGTCTAATGAGGGGGTCAACCTGGAGAAAGGTCAAGCATGTTTCATGTCTAATGAGGGGGTCAACCTGTAGAAAAGTCAAGCTTGTTTCATGTCTAATGAGGGGGTCAACCTGGAGAAAGGTCAAGCATGTTTCATGTCTAATGAGGGGGTCAACCTGGAGAAAGGTCAAGCATGTTTCATGTCTAATGAGGAGGTCAACCTGGAGAAAAGTCTAGCATGTTTCTATGTCTAATGAGAAGGTCAACCTGGAGAAAAGTCTAGCATGTTTCTTTATCTGATGAGGAGGTCAACCTGGAGAAAAGTCAAGCATGTTTCTATGTCTAACAAGAAGGTCAACCTGGAGAAAAGTCTAGCATGTTTCTGTCTTACGAGAAGGTCAACCTGGAGAAAAGTCTAGCATGTTTCTATATCTAATGAGGAGGTCAACCTGGAGAAAAGTCTAGCATGTTTCTATATTTAATGAGAAGGTCAACCTGAAGAAAAGTCTAGCATGTTTCTATGTCTAATGAGAAGGTCAACCTGGAGAAAAGTCTATCATGTTTCTATATCTAATGAGAAGGTCAACCTGGAGAAAAGTCTAGCATTTTTCATGTCTATAATGAGAAGGTCAACCTGGAGAAAAGTCTAGCATGTTTCTATATCTAATGAGAAGGTCAACCTGGAGTAAAGTCTAGCATGTTTCTATATCTGATGAGGAGGTCAACCTGGAGAATAGTCTAGCATGTTTCTATGTCTAATGAGAAGGTCA